GACAATACTCGATAATCTGCGCGTTATCCGACACAAAGTAATAAATATGTCACCCTTAAGTTGCAGCGACCAATATGTAAATGTAACGTGAGCCTGGACACAGCGATCTAAAAAAGGGACACTTGAGTAAACATCTGTGCACTTGATTTTATGAGAAAATGCACCCTTCCAGTGACTGGAAGTAGTTTTAAGAGTCTATGTTAGGTATATAAGAACTTGGATTTAATAAACAGTTCACTTTCAATCTTGAATTCGGCAAATGTGCAGTTTTTTCATTAAACGCTCTAACACGCTCTGTTTATGAAAAATTAATAATAATAATAATAACTTCATGTACCAATTTAATCAATTTATTGAGCGGACACATGGTCATATGAATAGATGGTCATAACCCGTATTGCGTTCATTCATTCTGCATTAAGATGTCAATTTTAGTTAAGATGTTTATTTTTGGATTATTAAAAACAAAAAGTTTAAAAATGAAAACCAAAAAAATTGCATTAATGCCTAAATGACGGGTATTTTCCTATAGTGCAATCTTAATGAAACTCAGGGAGTAATATGATGAAAATGTGCGTATTTTCCGAAGCACAAGTCTAGTACTTGAAATAAGTTTTTTACAAATTTGGAGCGCGGTACTCAAAATCTATAAATTAAAAAATGTTTGTATTAATCATATGTATATACACAGGAAATCTGAAGTCTCCAGGTCTAATAGTAGTCAAATGAGGATGTAAAAACAAAATCAATTTTTCGATTACACGAATATGCATGCCAAATTTCAGCTCTGTAGCTTTTGTATCTTCTGAGATCGACGCACTCATACGGACGGACGGAAGGCCGGACAGGGTCTGCCACGCTTGCTTCTGCCTGTTACATAAATTTTAACAAAACTATTAAACCCTGATTTCCCATTTTTTTATATTATTTGATTTGCTAAAGTGCTTCTCTGCTTACCTTGGAAAGTGGTTAACTCGTTGATACAACGCCAAGTTTCGTAAGGTGTCTAGTTTCATATGGACTCCTGTCCACAACAAATTAAAATCTGTTTCACTCTGAACTTCAGTTAAGCCATGAACATTGAATATCTTTCTCAATAATTTTGTTTCTGTTTGAATAAATTTATATGTAATTTGTAAGTGATGTGCTGGCATATTGACTCCACAGTCATTATCTTCTTCACTAGAAGCTTCTTGATCTTCCTCACTAGTGTTACTATCAGTATTGAATTGAGAAGTCGTTACAGAATCATAGCCACTTTCCTTATTTAAATTAGATTTTGATTCAAAAACTGAATCGTTTTCATTTTGTTTTGTTTTAGGTTTTTTTTCATTATACTGCGTTTTTTCATCTGCATCACTTAAAACCGAAGTATCACGTGAAGAAAATAAATTAGGCGTTTTTTTATGCTGATTTTGCTGATCTCCGTAAATTGGCAACTTTTCAACAGACACATGCGTCTTTACTTGTGCTACATTTCTTAAAGGACTTTTGCTTACTGTAGGCGATAAAGTTTGCTTAGGAACCATATTATTCGAAGTATACTTAATTTCTTGATCATGAAGGTCCATTTGTATCGATTTGGCTTCTTGTAAAGTTTTTCTAGTTTTTGGATTAAGTATATTAGTGCGAAAAACCAACACCGCATCACGTGACCCAATTTTTCCACTTGTAACCCAGTCATCCTGATTTATATAATTAATATCACTATAATAAGAAACAAAAAATATGATTCCTCTTATTTTACAATATCTATACAATTTAAAATATTTCCGTAGGAAATTTAATACTTTAGAAAACAACTTACGCAGAAGTATTGTGTGCATCACACAACGAAGAGACCGGCATTTCTGAAAGAACAAAAGAAAATACTTTTGTAAATTAGTACAGCTGTAAGTATTTAAAAATTAATCAAATCATTGGTTGTGCTTACTATGTTGAAAAAATGCAGATTTTACCTTTGGTAGATCCAAATTTTCTCATATTTCAATAATAAAAAGGCTACAGTTCTACTACAATATCCCCGGAACCTGTCAAGCAACTAGTATTTCTACAATTTTAAGACATAATATACAGCACATATACACACAGTTGTATTTACGCGTAAAGTTTTATAAAACAAACTCGAATCAATATTTAATATGGAGACTCCGATATTCGATAGCAAAATAACGGGAATGTTTATAAAATATACGCAAGCAATTAAAGTTGTCTAAATCGTCTGTGCGTGGGGTGATAAAAATGTTTTAAAACTAAGTAAGAAGACTCTAGTCGAGACTGCTCGACTATGAGATACCCTGAACCCTCCAGTCTGATATTCTAATTGTGCAGAGTAATTAGAGTATCAGACTGGACTCTTAATTTAGGCACACATACATACACACGCACGTATTAGTACGCGCTCTGCTAACTGCGCAGTAAGTAGCGACTGCGCTTGGGCTGCGCTGCAGTGTGCGCAATATTAAACGAATTTATTTGTTGAATAATTTAATTTCTAGGCGTACATCTTAATGAAATTTTCAGGGCGTAATTATATGGTCAAAATGTGTGTACATTCCA